GGATGATCCTCCATCCCTGGAGGTTTTTAAAGGCCAGGTTGGACAAGGTTTTTGTGCAACCTGGTCTAGTGGTTCCCTGCTCATGGCAGGGGGGTTGGAACTGGATGATCTTTAAGGTCCCTTCCAACCTTAATGATTCCATGACCCAGACCAGAGGTGACTTATGCAAGTGAAGTCACTGGTGCCCGTGAGGTCTTTGGTGGATGAGCTGTCTGGAAAGTGGGGTGACAAACAAACCACCTGGGGTGACTATTTCCCCTAAATAAAACTAAAATAGTAAAAAAAAACCAAACAACCCAACCAAAAGAAGTTTGTACACTCCAGACTTGGATTTCTCTCTAGAGACTGGGGGTGGGTACGTGGTGGAGCTGCAGGCACAAGGTTGGTGGGACAAAGCAGAGCGACCACGGAGCCTCAAGGTGTCCCAGCTTCCCAACAGGCTCCTGGTCCCTAACCCTAGCAGACCTGGAGCCACATCCAGGGCAAAGAGGGAAGGGGGGAGCTGAATCCTGCAGCCCATGGCCCAGGAGGGGATCTGGGTGAGTCCAGCACATGGATAAACCCCCCTCCTCCAACCTCCTTAGGTGCAGAGTTCACCCGGAACACGCGCTTTGCACACACGCGTATATACATATATACATATATATTCACTACATACACATATATATACATACATACACGCACGACAGACCCATCCCTGGGTGCCCCAGGAGATGCTGGTTCTTCTCATCACCCTTTCAGTGGTGAAAACTCAATGTCACTTTTCCAGGGGCTGCCAGAGCCTCGCAGAAAACTGAGCCCAGAAATGTTTATAATCGTAAAAAAGGGTGGTTGGGGAAGGGAAAAGAGAGAAAGAATTTAAAAACAATCCAGTCTTGTATTTAGCTAATGGGTTTGTTCCTGTTAAAGCCTGTTGAGGTGACTTGTGGCAGGGGTTGGATGGTTCTGAATTATGAGTCTGAGGAGCAGGAGCCAAGGCTTGAGTGGAACAAAGCAGCTCCTGCCCAGGGATCTTTGGCACCCACCAGGCAAATTGGAGAGGAAATGGGAAATGAAGAGGGAAACCAGCACATCCCACATCCAGCCCAGTGCCATTGCCTGCTCTGCAGCAGGATCCCCTCCCCACACAGGGTCCTGCTGCTTAGTTTTGAAAGTTCCAAAATCAAAGAAAACTTTAGAGAAAAGGGGCAACCCCCCCCCCCCAGCCCTGCCAACCCTGCCTGGGGGTCCTGCTGCTGGCCAGGGCCACCTCCATCCCCTGCCCTCCCCATCCTCCTGCTTCCAGCCCCTGTCTGGGCTCAAAAATGTTTTCTGGTCCCTTTGGTCCCCTCCTTCTGCTTCTTCTTTATTTATGTGGCCCAGGAATTGCTGGTTACATGAAGATTCTCTGCAGCAAATGACAGCAGGGTCAGAGCTGGGCAAGGAGCACAGCTGGGGAGGAGCTCAGCCCACTGCTCACAGCTGGGGATCACAGCTCTGAGAATCACCCAGCTGGCCTGGCCAGCTCTGCCTTCAGCTCTGGTGCATCACACAGAGACACAGCAAAAAAAATTGGGAAAGCCCATGGAAAAGCCCTCCCCTAGGCCCACAGAGCCAAGCACGTCCTCAGGGTGCACAGCTGGAAGGACGAGCACATCTGGGCACTGCCCCAGCTGGGAACCTACAGCTGGTGATGGAGGAGGTCACTGCAAGGCTGGGGAGGGGCTGGATCTGGGCAGGGGGCCCAGGTGCCAGATTGGTGCTTTGGAAAGGGAAGGTGTGGGAGATTCTCCAGCTACCACAGGAGTGGATTTTCCTAAAAACTTGCTCTGTGGCCAAATCAACAGCTGAGAAAAGATGCTTTTGGTGTCCCCTGCACTTACCCTCCATGCTTTCTCACCTCTTCCACATCCATCATCACACCAGGAACCCCTGCAGCCCCAGAGGGTTGCAAGAGGCACACCCGTGCAGCAGAGCCTACTGGGGATAGCAGCTGTGTCCTGCTACCCACCAGTTGCTTCCCAGTTGCCTCCCACCACCCCCAGCATGGCCAGAAGCCACAACACACACACACATTCACCTTTTTTTTGGATCTGGGCTTTCCCAAAAAAACCCCACAGCTCACATTCAGCTCCATCCCACCACCCAAAGGAGGCAGGAGATCAGCCATCCTCCAGGAGGACAAGGCTTTTTTAATTCCAAGCTTCAACTCCAACCACTAAGCCAGTGTCCCTGGGGAGAGGAGGCCACAGAAAAGGCTCCTGCATGATTTATCACCAGAAAAAGGTGGGTTCCAGGCCCAAAAGAGAGTCTTCTTGAGCTCAGATCCCCTCTCCAGGCAAAGAGCAATGCCACAAATGCATGGAAGCAGCAGATAGGCAATGAATTAAGACTCTGGTTGATTCTGATTTCCAGTTTAATTGCCTTCACCTTTTCTTGCATGCTGTCAGCTCCTACTTTTTTATTGCTGCTGCCCAGTCTCCTCCTGCCCTCCCACTTGCAGCCTTCCTCACTTCTGAAACTGTAATGGATTTAAGTGCCAGGATTACAACTTAACACCAGCTGAGCAAGCCGAGGTTAAGCTGGAGTGAATAAAAAAATTGTATTATAAAACTTCAGACTATTAAATAGGGGGAAAAAATGGAAGGCAGAAGATTAGGGGAACAGCTAAGAAAAGCAGCATTTAAAGATTAAGCTGGGAGGGTTCTTCTTTAATGCAAGCTCAAAAGATTAAGTCCATGTTCCTCCAAAAGATGGTGATTTTGGATGGTCTTGATACTCGCTATGCCCAGCTCATGAAATCATGAACAGTCTTTATTTCTGCTCCTCCCCACCAGCTGGGGCCCTCTGTGCAGTCCCAACAGGACCAAAAAAAACCCAAAACCCATGAGTTCAAACTGTCCCTTTTGTGCAGGTCAGAGAAAGTGACTCTTGGAGCCAGGTTGACATCAGCCTTCTTCAGGCATGTGTTTGCCCCTTCACAGCATCTTCATCCTCTGCAAGATCAGGATAGATGCAAGAGATGGGCACACACACAAACACACACATTCTCTCTCTACACCATCTGCCTTTTACCACCCAAGACATCCAACAGGTCCATCTTCTCCAAACTAGAAGAACCAAAACAATGACCATTTTGCCCCATGTTGCACACCCCAAGGGAGTGTAGCCCAAACCTTCCATCTTCCCAACCACCAAAGCCCATCCAACCATCATATGCTGAGCCATGAAAATGTACAGGGGTTTCTTTTCATATACATATATAACTGTGTATGTATGTATGTGAGATATATATATGTATATATATATATTTATATATATATATAAATATGCTTGGCCTCTGAATTTCCCAACATAAAGAAGTGCTGCTGTCTTGTAGCCTCCACCAGGGTCATAAATCCCAACATCCACTCACACCCTAAGGGGACAAAGTGTCACTGTGTCTGTGCAGGTTAATTCATGATGCAATAGAGTCAAAGCAACTGATATTTCCCTCCCCCCCCCCCCCCCCCCTTTTCCTGATTAAATTGCTCAAAGATGAAAGCCAAGGTCTCCATGGGACACCATCGAGTTTGCAACCATCAGGCAAACAAAGCTCTTTGACTGCAATGCAAACAGCACTGCAGCTAATTAAAAGCCAACTCATTGCAGTAGCTAATTGACTTTTCTGTGCAGAGAGCTTGCTCCAAAAAAATATCTGGCCTTTCTGGAAGGCATGGTTGGGCTCTGGATCAGGATCTTGGGTAGAGGAACCAGCTGCACGTGCATCCTGCATGTAGGTGATGGTGATTTCCAGGATCTATTGCTCTCAAGTTCCTGGGTGCCCTGGGGGGTTATACTGGAGTTTAAGTAACAATAAAAGAAACACAAACCATCGATCCTGGGTCTTGCAAAAGATATGTAGCTGCCAACCTGGCCTGGGGCTGGTGGGTGGAAGCCACCACTCTGTCTTCTTCACCTTCTGGGTGCCAGTGGGGTCCCCTGCCCGACCCTGGGGGGACACAGGATTGCCTCCACTTTGCACTTCTTTCCTTGCACTGCATCTCACGCCTGGTAGAGCTTTGTCATCCCCTCTGGAGGAACTGGGGGGAGGATTTAGCTTCTCCGCTTCCAGCTCCTCTCCCTGCCAACTCCCCACCAAGCAACATCCCGCTCCGTTTCCAAACCAGCGCTGTTGGTCACTCTGCACAAGCTGAGTTTTATTGGTCACAGTGAACACCCAGTGAAGGCAAAGTCCCTCCTCAGCCAGACCCCTGCAGGTGGCCACACACTGTTTCTCTAGGCTCAAGGTCTCTGGCTGTGCACAGCAATGCAGGGAAGGGAGGTGGTGGCAGGAGGGAAGCAGTGTGAGATACCCCAATGCAACTTCTTGCTGCTCCACGAGCTCTCCGAAGAGCTGATCTAAAGAGGTTGTTCCCAGCCTACTGGCCATGTTTGTAATCTTTTTTTTTTTTCCCTTCTTTTCCAAGAGCAAACCCCGGGGCATCAGGTATTCCAGCCCCTTGTGCTTTTTTTTCAAGGTTCAAAGCATATTTGAGAGTTGCAGCCTCTCTTCAAACAGAAGCAGGGAGCAAAGTTGTTCCTGCAAAGCGACCGACCCCGTTCAGAAGGAAAGTAAAAAACAAAGAGCGAGGGAAACAAACCTCCCTCCTTTCCAAAGAGGGGGGAGGGAAAAAAAGGAAGATAAATCCAAATCAACCCCCATGTGCCCCAGAGCTGGTAGAAGGTGTCCAGATCTCAGAGTCTGCTGTGTTGGTGGGAAAAGCCCAGTGACCTCCAGCTGCTGTGGGCTCCTTGCCCTGTCCCTCCCGCTGCAGCAAGGCCAGCGGTTCTCAGGTGGAGCTCTGCCGTGCTCAAGATGTGGGTTTTCTCCTTTAGCTGTTGTGGGTTTTGCTTTTTTTCAATTGGCAGTCTGATCCAAACAAAAAAAAAAGAGAGAAAGAGAGAGAGAGAGAGATGGAGCAGAGGAAGAGGGACAGTTTGGAGAGGGGAGGGAGCGCGAGGCACGCTGGGTTCTCCTTCTACGCGTAAAATTCCTCCTGCTTGTCGGGCTTCTGGTAGGTCACGTTGGCTTGCTTGGGCTCCTCCAGCGTGTAACTGCCCTCGTCCTTCTTCTTCATCCTGTAGATGAGCAGCATGACCAGGAAGGCAGCAAACAGGGCTCCCACCACGCCGCCCACGATCACCGCTGCAAGACAGAGAAGTGACACGGCCGTCAGTGCGGTCCTGGGGCAGATAATCTGGGGGGGGGGGAACAGTTTGGATTTCAGCTTGGTTTTGGGTTTGCAAGCTTGCAAGCACCTCTGTTCCTGAAATCTGGGGTTTAAGAAAATTGGAAAAGAAGGTGAGGGGGTAACACAACCATGTGAAGCTTCAACAAGTTGCCAAGTGCAGCCATGCTGAAGGGTTGGTAGGACCCAGAGGGTAGGTAGGACCTGAAGGGCAGGTAGATCCCGAAGGCATCTACTCCACAGCTTCATGGTGGACAATGGACTTGCAGGAAGCAACCCAGGCACAGAGAGATCCCTGCACAGGCTGTAACCTCATTGAGTGCCTGCTGACACCCACCACGCTCCACTGAAGACCACAAGAACAACACCTGTTTGCTGTTCCATAGTCTCCAGCTGCCTTCAGCTGGTGGTGAGACACCAACACCTTTGCCCCACCTCTGATGTCCCTCTGGCTGGGACAAGTGGCCCTCCCAGATCACCTCTCTCCCCCCTGTGCCATTAGAAGTGGCCAGGTGGTGCCCAGCCAGTACCCCAGCACATCACCCCACTGACATCCTGTTTTTTCATCTTAGCAAAAGCAACTTGTGCACAGCTCTGCACTCATCTGGCAAAGACCTGAAGCCCCCTGGAAACCCCCCTAGCACAGAGCTTGGCTTATCCTCGGCTCAACACTCCCCCAGTGCCCTGCCAAAGATCAACCCTCTCCTGGATCCCAGCCAGCCCAGCCCCAGGAGCTCTTCCCACACCAGCCCGCGGCCCCCAGACTCACCTATCAACACTTCTTTCCTCTCCAGAATGGTCTTC